CAGTTATTGATTGTGTTTCTATGCTGGCATCTAGGATTCAGTGAAGTGGGAGTTTCTGGTTTCTTGAAGACTGAGTTTTTTCATGGGTTATTTTGCTGCAACCTGGGCACATGATGTTTTGCTGTAGGTTGGCTTGAGAGAAGGCATGTGATGTTTTTCTGTGAGCTCTCACATGTAAGGAGTATGACTTTGTCCTGCTGAGATAATCCGTGAGGGGACTCTGAGGAGAGGAGATATGTAGAGGCCCATGGATAGGGAGGCATCCATTTTTGGATTGAGAGTGCTGCACTGATCTTCATGCTTCTACACTTGACTTTGCAGAGGGAAACCTAGAGAACTTCTTGGGGGAATCCAACAAAGTCTTGTGGCTTTTGCTGACTTCATGTTGTTGCTTGGTGTTGGCATTTAGACTGGACTGCTGCCACCCTGCTGACTGAGTTTGGTAATCACCTCAAGTCCCATTGACCCTAACAGCAGGAAGTAGATGAAGAAGGTCTACAGCTCTTTTTCCTTCTAATCTACATAAGTAAGGGGGGGTTGGAAGGGTGTTAAAGGTGTTTAAGAACCCCAAATAAAATAGGTTTAGAAGGGTCTGGAACTCCACAAGGAGAACAACAGAACCAAAAAATTCTGGGTCTAAGGGTCTTTTCTGAGACTGACACTCCAACCAAGGACCATTCATGGAGATAACCTGGACCCCATGCACAGAGGTAGCTCGTGTCATCTTGGTCTCTAAATGGGCTCGTTAATAAGGGGAGCAGGGGCTGTCTCTGACATAAACTTAGTGGCTGGCTCTTTGATCACCAACCCCTCGGGGGGTAGCCTGACCAGGGAACAGAGGAGGCTATGAAAGAGTTCTGATGAGACTTGAAAGGCTAGGGCCAGATGGATGGAAAGGAGGTCCTCCACTATCAGTGGACTGGGGAATGGTCATGGGAGGAGAAGCGGAAGGGAAGGAGGGAGGAAGGGTAGGATTGGGAGGGAAGCAGTATGGACCCACAGCTGGGATACAAACTGAATAAAGTATAATAAATAAAAAATTATATTTAAAAATAATATATGTTTAAATATTAAAAAATAAAATAAACATTAAAAAAAGTAGGTTTAGTGAAAATCTAAAGGAGGTGCCCAATGTGACTTAGGCACAATGGGTAACTTTGATTCTAACATAGTGGATTAATCCTCAGATTTTGATGGGTTGGCAATGTTGTTTAAGGAGATTGGCAAAAGAGCAGCTCTTGCTGCAGGTGGTCTCTTTGTGTTGATCCTGGAGAAAATTTTCTGGTTTGTTTTCTGGTCTTCATATAGACCATTGAGAAAAAAGTTCAGAGAACGTTGAAAACTAAGAAGGTTCACAAAAATATCTGGTGTTGAAAAGGATTGCAGAGTTGGTTATGCTCCTAGAGAGTTGTTGACTAAAGGGTGCTTGGAAAGCAAAAGGAGCACGTGGCAGAACAACAGGGTTCAGGCTTGGCATCTGACACAGGAAATTTCCCACATGATAAAAGAGGGAAGCAATATAGGATGGAAGGCAGGCTGCAGCTCCAACCTTCTCTATACCTTTTCATTACCAGGTGCCCAGAGCATCTCTCTGCAGCAAGGGGCCCTATCAGAGCCATAGGTGGTACAGGGTAAATGGGTTCCTGTAGAGCTGAGTGTACTGCCAGAGGAGTTGCATTCGCCAATTCAGGCACCATCAGCCTTCCAGTTTTCTGCAGCATATACCTGCTAACGATGGTGGTGAAGCTTATGATGAGACGGAGTGGCATCCTATAGACATGCTAGATTTAAGACATTTTAAAGAGTCTATTTTAAAGTATGGGATGCAGTCCCCATTCATTAAACAGGTATTAAATAATTGAGCCTTGAAAAACAGACCTATTCGCCATGATTGGAAGAGTTTGGTGTTCTGGAAGCTGGTCAGCAATTTCACTGGTTATAGTGGTGGAGGGACAAAGCCATGAAAATGCAACAATATGATATAGCAAGGAGGATAATGTTAAAGACCAACTGTTGCAGCCACTTCTGATGAGAACTGATAGACTAAGATCAGAAAGAAGGAGAGGAGGACCTCCCCTATCAGTGGACTTGGGGAGGGGCATGCATGCAGAAAGAGGAGGGAAGGTGGGATAAGGAGGGGAGGAGGGAGGGGTTTATGGGGGGATAAAAAATGAATAAAGTGTAATTAATAAAAGTTAAATAAAAAATTTAAAAAAAGACCAACTGTTTGGTGAATGTCGTTCTGTTAATTTACAAGAGCAAAGCTGATCTGATAATGTCATACTTGAACAATGTTGTGCTGCAGCCCTAAGAGTATGGGACATGGTTGAGGAGCCAGGGGAAAAAACTATCTCCTTTACTAAGGTAATACAAGGCTCTGGAGAAGGCTTCACTGAATTCTTATAGAGACTGAATTCTGCCATCAATAGAGCTATACCAGCTCCTGAAACCAGAAAGTAGTTGATAGACATCTTGCCATTTGAAAATTCAAATATTGAAAGTAAGAGAGCAATTAAGCCATTAAAAGTACAAGGAGCCCCAATAGACCATTGGTTAAGACAGAGAACTGATACTGGCCCTTAGGGCATTATTTCAATATCACTGGACACACTGTAGATAGAAATCTCAGAGATAAAAAACACCCGGTGTCACAACTGTGGTGAATCTGGCCATTTCCAAAGAAACTGTAAAACTAGAAGTTTCAGAGTTCAAAATAGTAGAAAATGGCATTTGTAGAAGAGCCCAAGCAGTTTCTGGCTGCCATGGAATGCAAAAGCTTCAAGGGTCTTTTTAGCTCTGGTGGCAGGGAAAACATGGTGAACTCTTGTCGTCGGGGAAACAAATAAAGGGGCCTGTCAGCGCGAGGCCCCCCAACAAACAATGTGGTCATCTTCCTTTAGTCAGCCAAGGGGTATCAAGCAGACAGGAATATGAAAACTAAGTATTGATGGCCTAATGTATGCTACTGAAGGTACTGGAGCTTGAATCTGTGAATTCTGAGCTCCCAAGAGCATGCTCCTGGTGAGTGGGAGCAGCAATTCACAGGGAGCTGAGACACCTGAGTCTCAGTTATTTCATTCTTCAGTCTCTGACATGCTAGGGTCCCCAAATGTATCTGTTATAATTATAATTTCTTTTTCAAAAGATGCTCTACCATACCACAAGGACATTTGCTCAACTATGTTTATAGCAGCTTTATTTATAATAGTCAGAAACAGAAACATCCTAGATGTCCCTCAATTGATGACTGGATAAAGAAAATGTGGTACATTTGTACCATGGAGAACTACTCAGCCTTTAAACAAGAAAATCATGCAGTTTGCAGGCAAATAGATAGAGCTAGAAAAGATCATCCTGAGTGAGGTAACCCAGACCCAGAAAGATCTGCATGGTATATACTCAGGATAATCATTCTATGACTGCCAGACCCAAAGAAGCCAAGTAAGAAGGAGATCCCCAGGGAGCATGCTTGAATCTCCTTTTGAAGGGAAATAAAATACATATAAGAAGTGGATGAAAAGAGAACTTTATGTGAGAGGGTATGAAAGGAGAATGAGGATGGGGATCTGGTTGGGGTAGAACAGGGATAGGGGGTGTGAATTCTTGGAAAGAGAAGGGAATCTGATAGGAGGGTCATCTTTTGGATAACCTAGAGACCCTGGACTGGTTAGGCTCCTGGGAGGATGTGGCAATAAGTCTAGTGGAGATTCCTAGCAACAGGGGACATGGAGACTGAAGTGGCCAGCTCCTAGAGCTAGGCAGGAACTTCCAGTGGAGGGAGATGGACACCAACTCAACCACAAAACCTTGGACTCAAATTTTCCCTGTCTTCAAATTGTGCAGTGATAAAGATGAGCAGAGTTGAAGGAAGGACCAACCAATTACTGACCAACTTGAGACCCACTGCATGGGAGAGAGCCAACCGTTGACACTGTTAACAATACTTTGCTATGCTTGCAGACAGGTGTCGAGGGCCTTCTGGCACCTTGCTGCCCCCTAAATTTTGGCATCTGACTGGACCGGTCTACTGCCCAGATACAATAGTGCCTTCCTAGCTGACCTGGGGCTTTCGATAAGATCATCTTCCTGAAATACCTTAAATCCTCCTCTCCCTCAGGGTTTCCTAAGTAACTCTTCTGAGGAACTTTCCAAATTACTATTATTAGCACATCTTGGTGGGCCATCGTGTGATTTCTAGTCACTTAGTAACCCTGCCAAAGGCAATTACATTCCTTCCACTTCTGCCTATATAGTTGTATGGAAAACTTGAATAAACGGAGACTTTGATCAGAAATACTGTCTTGGTCTTCATCTCTCCCGCCCTTGTCCCCCCTTTTCATTCCCACTCCCCCATTCAGGATCTCCATTGACAGACCTGCGGGATGGGTCAGACAGGAACCTAGCATAACTGTCCTCTGAGAAGCTCTACCCAGCAGTGTTCAAAACTGATGAAGAGACTCATGGCCAAACAATAGGTAGAGCTCCAGCAGTCTTTGGAAGGGCAGAGGAGGACAGAGCATCATGGAGGGGGAAAGAACTCCAGAAGAAGGACAAGAACAGAGTCAACTAACCAAGAATCATGTGGGCTCACAGACACTGACCACTATTCAATGAGCATGTATGGAATGTACCTAGGTCTCATGCACATATGTATTTGTTGGGCAACTCGATCTTCATGAGGGTTCCCTAGCAATTACAGTGGAATCTCTCACACACATGGACTCTGTTGCCTGCTTTTATATCACTTTCCACTAGTGGGGACTCAGGGGAAGATGATTCATTTAGTCCTGATGTGATTTGTTGTGATGGAGTAGATTAGTGAGGGTGGGAGAGCTTCCCTTTTCTGAGGAGCAGGGGAAAGGGGAAAGAGGGAAGAGTGGGACAAGGAGGAGAAAAGGGAGGAGACTGCAATAGAGATGTAAAATGACTAAATAAATATATATATTTTTTCACTGTGTAAATGTTTTATTTCAGTGTGGGAAGGGCTCCCCCGTGGCTCCCCCCTGGCCCACTTCACAAGTTCTCGATGGGCTGGTGGGGCCAGTAGGGGTACTTCTGCTTGTCTAACTTGGTTTCTGGGAAGGCTTCATTCAGGTCATCAATGGTCATCTGGTCAAAGGGAATCATGTTCTTCATTTTCTCCAGCTGCTTCTCGTATTCCTGGATCCTGACCTGGGATTCAGACACGAACTCAGCACAGCTCTTCACATCCTCCTTTTCCTCATTGTTCACCAGGGCTGTGTATTTATCTTTGGGCACAGGAATAGTTAGGGCTTTATACTTCTTTTCAAAATCATCCACCGAGCCAGCTTTGGCCACATTGGCCCTGTAATAAGCCCAGTCAATCGCTGGTGGTTTCTCAGGCAGATTAGCCAACCTGGTGTGGAGGGTCTCATTCTAGGACTTTAGGGCATATCCAATTGTCTTTTGGTTTCCAGGTACAGTCTCCCCAAAAGCTACCCAATCAATGGTTTTTAGAGCAAATTTGCGCCCAGCCATCTTGGGATCCTTCACCGACCCCGACGGACCACTCAATAAATATATTTTTAAAATAAAAAATAAAGTGGGAGAAACAAAACTTGCAATAAATTTTACCCATAGTGAAGATATATATATATATATATATGTATATGTATATGTATATATATATATATATATATATATATATATATATATATAATAAGAGTGAATAGCAAATGCTCTAATCATGCTTCTATTTTCTTCTTGAATGAACACACAACAAGCATGTAAAAAAAATAGTTACTGTGGTTATGGTTTCCCTTCATAGCAATAGTAACCCTAAGACATCTTCACTTCCTTTCTCTCAGCTTATCAGAATTTCTCACTGAAAACTGGGTCCTGTAAGGACACAGAGTTTATCTCACTATGCTTCTGAGGCTGATGCTTCTCATGCTTTGTTGCATCAGGGCATAAAGGACAGGTATCTCATCCCAGCACTCCAGAGTGTAAGTCAAGCAAAGCTTTATGAATTGAAGGCCAGCTTGGTTTACATAAAGAATACCAGGATAGCAAAAGCTGCCTAATCAGACCCAATTTCAAAATAATAATAGCAAATAAAGTTTTGGTGTTCTTAAAATGAATGACAAACCCAGCCTTTCAATCTTTGTAAAATGCTTACATTGTAGTTGCCATAATTAAATAAAAGTTCATGAATCAGGAATAACATGGTATTCCATGGCTTTCACAGATGCTATGAAGGCAGAGGCATACTCAACTCTGTGAGTCTAAGACTAACATTGTCGAAGTAGCGACTTCTAGGACAGCCAAACATACATAGCTGTCGAAAAAGAATCATGAACCAAATTACGGATATGTCTTTAACTCCTGCCAAAATACTTCTAACTGCCAAAGCTTTAGAGAACTAACCAGTCTTTAACTGTTTCCTCATCCACAATATAGTAACTTATGGGTTAGAGAATTGGCTCAGCAATCAAAGATCCTGGGTACCCTTCCAGAAGACTTGCCTCCAATGCCAGTTTTCATGAGGCAACTCAGAGTAGTTGGTAGCTCCAGTTCCAAGGGATCCAAACAGCCTCATTGTATCTCTGAGGGGACCTTCTGTTCATAGTACACCTGTGGAACAGGGCCTCAGACCTTAGTAGGCCCTAAGAACAACTGTCTCCATGATGAAAATGCCATTCAGGCTGTAAAATTTAGCACTTACACAGCACCATCTGCAAACACTAAATCAAAGGCCTAATTTATCAAAGTCCATAGTACTGGGGAAATCTCTAAATGTCCTAACCTTGCTCTAAGTGGATTAACATTTGGCTTCTGTAGCTAACTCTTCTGTGGCTAACTCTTCTTTTTAACTGAAGAATATGAATTTTGTGCTTAAAAGTTCACTATAAAACTGGGCATGGTGGCACATGCCTTTAATCCCATCAGTCAAGGGTGCAGAGGGAGTTAGAGCACTGTGAGATAGAGGCCAGCCTGGTCTACAAAGTGAATCCAGGACAGCCAAAGCTACACATGTAATACCTAGATCACAGGACCCTCAGAGACGACCAGGAGACTACTTGATGCAAGAGCAAGAGAGCTTTATTTTGAGAGTGATTGAACTTTTTGGGACCCAAATCTCACTGACACAGCAGTAGAGAAGTGGGACCTCGAGCCCTGAGTGAGTAGGGTTTTTAAAGGGAAAGACTGTGCGCAGAGGGTTTCCATGATAGCAAGCAGGGAGGAGTGTCACATGCCTTGGCATTACAATATTGGGTTAAATTTAGAGGGGCAAGGTGACCTTCTCTGAGGCACAGAATCACAATTGCTAAGGCATATGATCACAATTGCTATTCTTCTAAACTATATCTGAAACATTGGGGAGATTTTTCCCAGCCGATTCCCAACAGATTCTCATTGATTATTGCCAGGGAGATTGTCTCTATTTTCTATGAAGCATTTATTCTGTGATATTTCCTGGAGGCTGTTGCTAGGAGAGTTTACTTTATGGTCTGCCAAGTGTACATTCTGTGATATTTCCTGGTACCTGAGTTCAGCTCCCAGTCAAGATGGCTCTTCATTTCAAAATGGAGTTATACCCAGGATAACTTAAACTCTTCACACAGAGAAACCTTGTCCCTAAAAACAAAAGGAAAACAAACAAAACAAAAGAAACAGACAAAAACAAAGACACAAAAAACCTCACCATGAGAAAGTCTGGGGGCTACACTTGGATCCAGAACATCCTGTGTAGTCACCAGCCACTAGATAAAGATTTATAAATCCATATTTGAGCAGTCTTCTGTGATAATTTTTTTAATTTTTAATTTTCATATTAATTATACTTTATTCACTTTGTATCCCAGCTGTAGCCCCCTCCTTCCTTCCCTCCAAATCCTACCCTCACTCCCTCATCTTCTCCCATGCCGAATTCCAAGTTCACTGATAGTGGAGGTCCTCTTCCACTTCCATCTAAATCTCCTAGCCTGTCAGGTATCATCAGGATTGGCTGTATTGTCTTCCTCTGTGGCCTGGCAAGGCTGCTTCCCCTCAGGGGGAGGTCATCAAAGAGCCATCCCATGAGTTCATGTCAGAGACAGTCGCTGTTCCCTTACTAGGATACCCACTTGGATACTTAATTGCCATGGGTTACATCTGAGCAGGGGTTTTAGGTTATTTCCATGAATGGTCCTTATTTGGAGAATTAGTCTCAGAAAAGATCCTTGGGGCCAGATATTTTGGTTCTCTTGCTCTCCTTGTGGAGCTCCTGTCCCCTCCAGGTCTTACTATCTCCCCATTCTATCATTAAATCCCCTACAGTCTGCCCAGAGTATGGTTATGGGTCTCAGCATCTGCTTTGATACACTGCTGGGTAGAGTCTTTCAGAGGTCCTCTGTCCTGTTTCCTATTCTCTCCTTCCAATGTCCATCACAATTGTCTTTCTGAGTGAGGAATGATCATCTTACCCAAGGTCCTCCTTCCTTATTGCTTAGCTTCTTTAGGTGTACAGATTTTAGTGTGATTATCCTATATTATATGTCTAATATCCACTTATAAGTGATATACTGTGTGTGTCTTTCTGCTTCTGGGATACCTCACTCAGGATGATCTTTTCTAGATCCCACCATTTGCCTGTGAGGGACCACCTGGGAATGGGGGGCCACCTGAGAATGGGAAAAATGACTGTGATTATTTGAATTGACGCCAGGTGCAGATAGCTCTTGAAGGGGTGAACTGTTCTGAGAAACAACCAGCTGTAAACTATAGAGCAAAAGCGATCTGATTTTCAGGTATAAAAACCCTGTGCTTTGCAAGTTTGGGGTTGTCTCCTATCTTTGGAGGGGCGACCCTATCGTGATAGCAATAAAACCTCTTGCTTTTACATCGAGTTGTGGTCTGTAAGAGTTCCTGGGAAGGGTGCGGATCCTGAGCTCCTGAGCCGTGAGACTCCAGCTCTTACATTTTGGTGCCTTTGGCCAGGAAAGAGGGTGCCCCTTCCCATTCCTCATCAGACTGGGCTCAGAGGTCGAGCTCAGAACAGGTTAGTCTGATTCCTGGTTGTATCTGTTTAGGTGCCTATCTGGACCTTTTTGGTCATCTGATCAGTCGTTGCGATAGACAGACGTGTCAGAATATCACTTGACTGGGAACTGGAGGACACTCCAGATTCCATCTGGGGAGGCTAGGTCTGTGACGGTCCCCCTCCCATCTGTAGGAGATGGCCTTAGTGAGGCAGCCTCTCCAACTGAATTCTGTGGTACCACCCGCAAGGGCGTCCTTGTCTAATTGCCTGTCTTGTTTTCTTTGTCTCTATCGTTGTTGCTTCTTTGATTTTCTTGATGGACGACTTTATTATGGGACAGACTGTGACTACACCCTTATCCCTCACCCTTGATCATTTCTCAGGGGTGAGATATAGGGAACATAACCTTTCAGTTGAAGCTAAAAAAGGAAAATGGCAAACTCTCTCCTCCTCGGAGTGGCCTATTTTTTAGGTTGAATGGCCACCGGAGGAAACTTTCACCTTGGCAAGATCCTTGCTGTCAAGATTTAGACCCTCCAGACCCCAGGAGGTCACCCTGATCAGGTTCCCTATATTCTGACTTGGGAGGATGTAGTTTGTCACCCACCTCCTCGGTTGTGCCCCTTTATTCTTCCCATAGGGACTTCCCCGACAGCCATCTGTGCGGTCAAGGAGAAGAAGAAGATACTTGCTACTCCAGATACAGATTTCCTTCTTTTTGACCTTCCACCTTCTTATCTGCCGCTCTTTCCCCCACTAATCCACCAGGAGGTCTGCAACAGGGTGCTGCCAGTCCCTCAGCACCACTGCAATCACCACCAGATTCTGAAAGCAAGAGTGCCGCCAGCCGTCCCTTGTTACCGCTATAGTCGCCACCAGATCCTGGAATGGAAAGTGGCCCATGGGCAGGAACACAGAGTCACAGAGCAGCTTAGCCAGGCTCCACGGCCCTTCCTTTGCGGGCCTATGGGCCCCCTGATGACAATGGAAATCAACCCCTTCAGTACTGGTCTTTTTCATCAGCCAATCTCTATAACTGGAAGGCCCATAAACCCCCTTTTCCGAAAATCCTCAAGCTCTAACTGATTTGTTTGAATCTGTCCTATTCTCACACCAGCCCACTTGGGATGATTGCCAGCAACTCTTGCAGGCCCTCCTGACTACCAAGGAACAGGGGCGGGTTCTCCTTGAGGCTAGAAACAATGTGCCAGGAACAGATGGGAGGCCTTCCATCCTCCCTAATGAAATTGATGATGGCTTTCCCCTCACCCACCTCAACTGGGATTACAACACACCCGGAGGTAGGGATCGCCTGAAAGTCTACCGACAGACTCTAATGGCAGGTCTCCGTGGGGCCACTCGAAAGCCCACCAATTTGATAAGGTAAGAGAGACAGTTCAGGGGCCGGTTGAATCTCCTGCAGGATTTCTTGAATGGCTGATGGAGGCATACCGCCGGTTTATGCCCTATGACTCTACCTCAGATGAACATAGGGCAATGGTGACTATAACCTTTATAGATCAGTCAGCCAGAGATATTTGTA